AACTGTGCCTTGCAGGAAGAGATTGGCAGAAGGGAAAAGCTTCCCAGTCATTAACTGAGTAATGCTTGATTCACACTATTTTTTGATGGAAGGTATTTCACTTTCTCTCTATGCAACTTGGTGCCTGAAACCCTGACTCAGCCCCTCACACGGCTCCTGGAACAGCAGTAGATTTTCCTGTCAGGGCAGCAGCAACTGGCTTTGTCTAGACTTTATTGGAGGACAACAGAACACAACACAAGCAGGTTTTGTGTAGTCAGAGATGAGCACTGGAGAACAAAGAGAGAGCTTCTGGGAGGAACATCCTACTGAGCTGCTGCTCCTACTGAACACTGAAGAAAGGGTTTTCAAAAAAACGTCTGCTGTAGTACCTTCAAGGCAATAAAATTCTACACCAGGAATAACTCATATTTGGCCTTCAAATTTGAAAAAAAAAAGCCAAACTTAAAAACTACATTTCATTCAGGTCAGGCACTCCTAGATTACAGCTTCTGCCAAATTCAGCCACAGCAGAAAGCTGCAATGAACAACCAAGACCCTCCATTCTGCAGATAGATTGATGTGAAAAGCCATTCCATGCAGTCCTGTTCCCATTGAGAAGCACCCTCTGGAAATTCAGGTGAAGGTGCTCCTGGGAAGGAAATGAAAGAGGAAAGTTTTAAGCACAGTCTTTACTCAGCTGTTCCCTACCTGTAAAATGGTACAGCAGTGCCACTGGACTAGTGGAAAACTTAAGCAGAGATGCCTTCAACTGCTTTGGAAGGTATTAATATAAAGCAAGTAACATCAGTCCTGCACAGAGAGAGCTCATTCCACTAGATCCCTACTTTTTTCTTAAGAGATTTATAATTATTTTGCAAAAATGTTTAAAAGATCTGATCTATATCCTGCAAGTACTGCACATTTGAGAACGTATGACGTGCAGCATGCTGCACAGAACAGCTTTCAGCAACCATCTTCACCCTCTCAGAATACAAAAGCATACTAATTTGGTAGTCACTAGAGGGAGCCATCTGGCATTTTACTTGTGCTGCTCTGCAAGTGTTTGGAAATCATATTTCATGGCTCTGCTAAAGGAACAGATTATTCGTTTCAAATCTAAACACACTAACTACTAAGTGTTGCAAAGAAGAGTTTAGCTACCTTTTTTTTTTTTTTTTTACAGAATCGTAATGGACATTCAAATAACCTTCACATAGAGCTAAAATAATCTTACGAGAACATTACCTCACTGCAGTAAGTACATCTCTGTCTTCGAAAGCAGGTCAGGAAGCAGAATGGCAGGAAGATAATCTTCATAAACCGTGGAACCCATACACAAGAATGGATTTCTCCTGCTTTTGGAAAGCAGTTTCTGAAGGTCAAACTTTCTTCTTCATGTGACACTGTCTTTAACTGACAGAGAAGTAATATATCCTTTCTGCCTTTGTGCTGCAGACGTTGCTGAAAATATACCATGGTAAAATATGCATACTGTAACTTTATGGACTCTCTAGACCTAGATCATTTGCACAGAAATTAGAATGGAACATAAAAGACTCTGCTCAATTCTAATCTACAATGTGCTATCAAAACTAAAACGTGAAGCATTAAGAAAGTAGGACCTGCAAGAGACCCCTCTGGCCAACTTAAGAGTAAATTATAGATGTAGGTGATAATGAAAGACTTTTGTGATCTGTTTTTCTTTCAAATTCTGTTTTCAAGAATTTACCATGACTAGCTATGTCTATAACAGGACAGTCTAGCAGGATCTTCAGATGCCTGAAGTGCTTAGTCCTAACTTTGTGTGTACAGTTCTAGAATACACAAGGTCATGACCAATCTGCCTCACCCAAACTTTGGTGGTGTCTTCTTGTGCAGCACTGGTGGCTGCATCCAGAGGTGGAAGAAAGAAGTTAAGATCTCTTGATTTGCACAGTTCAATCAGTTTAAGGTCTGAAAATGAGCCTCGAATGAGCTTTATGCTAGAAGCATTTTACCTCAGCATGCAAATCATAAATTAATTCTTAAAAATTGAGTAGATGACCCACAAAAAGCAACTGTCCCTTTCCTTTATGGTAGCTTCTCCTCCCGTCTGGATAGAACATGTGTTTTTGAGAAAGAAGCAAGGCCTGTTTTCAGTTTGCACCATTACTGAAACCCTGGGATACAAACACAGCCAACCTTGAATAACCTTCAAGGTTGCACAGTCACAAACTGGGACTCAATTTAGCCAGACAAGGGCAGGGAGGCCTCCTCCCCCAAGCCATGAGGAACAGTTACACCATCTAGTTATCCCAAAAGGGAGAGCAGAGGAATTGTGTGCATTGTTAGGGAGTATCTGAATATATCCATTCCCTTGTGCAAAAGCTATTTTGGATAGGAACAGGCAGGAAACATGAAACCAGACAATTAATAAATTAGGCCATTGCTTCCCCAACATGATAGACATTTTGAAGCTCAGAACGCTTCTCTCTGCAGTCTTCACCAATTTTTTGGTACTTCACCTGTAGTCATATCAGGCCCTACACTTATGTTGAATACTAAATATACTCAGCCAGGAGCAGAAATCCCAGAGACTGCAAAGAAAAACATCCGCTACAGTTCTTCTTTCTTTATATGTTGTAGCATAAGGAACTATTTGTGCTTTAGAAACTCAAATGGCCTACAGTTTATTAGATGTGCAGTCTGTGGACTGCTTTCCTTTGACTAGTGTTGTCTTTGATTGTATAGATGAAAGTGCCTGTACAAACCTCATCAATTTTAGCAGAGTTTTTCATCAATTTTTACCTTCAGAAGAAGCCTAATCTGACAAGATATAGACGATGAGGTGCTGGATATTATCTTAAATACTTTAATCATTTTGTCTTTCAGAATCATCTGTGGAGAAAGAACACCAATGGTGGTTGAACTGGCATCACCTTTGCTGCTAATATAAATACCATATCATATGGCAATTATATAAAGACCAACTTAAAACTAGTCTGCAGGGGTACATTGGTAACAGTCGTTATTATTTTGTCAGTCATTACATTACCTTTAATACTTCAATTTACACTCCACTGATTTTACACCGTAATACAAAAATTCAAATGTAGTGAACGCCAACATCATTTGCAGCTACTGGTGCCAAAGAGAGGCCCGTAAATCAGCCCACCACATCTCAGGGAGAGACTGAAGCTCTCGCTACCTTAATTTGTAACAGCCTCTCTTCCATGAAGGCATTTCTAAGCTTCCACTCATATTCTTAGTATGTCTTTATGGATACAATTCCATAAAAGTACCTAATTATGATGAAGAAGTATTTAGAAAAGCTAATATAGGGCTTAAACTTCTATGGAAGTGTATACCATCATAATGAACTGGCATGTCAAAAGAAATCACAGGAGATCGCATGCTTCCAGGAGAACCCAATCACAATGAACTGGCATGTAAAAGAGCTAAAGCAGCCCCCCAGTGACGTTTTAAAAACTTAATTCAGTTACTTTTGTTAAGCACTAGCTTCAGCAGAGCCATGTCTGATTTCGATCAGGGAAGATAAAAAATTTAACTATGTTCAAGCAATTTTCTCTACATGCGCTTCTGAGATACTAATACTTTGCATATCATGTGCTTTTAAATCTTAACTCGATTGAAACCTCTCTCAAAATAGAAAAATCTCACCCTGAACCAAAATCTTTCCATATACATTGCACCTATGCAGCAAGACAGTGATATCTGTGGCTGGTTTCAAGGGAAAAACTTATTATCCCCTACATTCCATTTGAGATTTTTTTTACTGTAGGTGCAGGACCCTACACTTTTCCCTGTTGAACCTCATGAGGTTCTTCTTTGCCCAGCCCTCCAGCCTGTCCAAGTCTCGCTGGATGGCAGCACAGCCCTCCGGGGTGTCAGCCACTCCTCCCAGTTTGGTATCATCAGCAAACTTGCTGAGGATACACTCTGTCCCCTCGTCCAGGTCACTGATGAATATATTAAACAGCACGGGTCCAAGTATTGACCCCTGGGGGACTCCACTGGTTACAGGCTTCCAACTTGAACCTGCTCCATTAATAATTACCCTTTGGGTCCTGTCACACAGCCAGTTCTCAATCCACCTCACTGTCCCCTCATCCAGCCCATACTGCCTCAGTTTCCCAATGAGGATGTTATGGGAGACAGTGTCAAAAGCCTTGCTGAAGTCAAGGTAGACTTGATGAAGAAGTATTTAGAAAAGCTAATATAGGGCTTAAACTTCTATGGAAGTGTATACCATCATAATGAACTGGCATGTCAAAAGAAATCACAGGAGATCGCATGCTTCCAGGAGAACCCAATCACAATGAACTGGCATGTAAAAGAGCTAAAGCAGCCCCCCAGTGACGTTTTAAAAACTTAATTCAGTTACTTTTGTTAAGCACTAGCTTCAGCAGAGCCATGTCTGATTTCGATCAGGGAAGATAAAAAATTTAACTATGTTCAAGCAATTTTCTCTACATGCGCTTCTGAGATACTAATACTTTGCATATCATGTGCTTTTAAATCTTAACTCGATTGAAACCTCTCTCAAAATAGAAAAATCTCACCCTGAACCAAAATCTTTCCATATACATTGCACCTATGCAGCAAGACAGTGATATCTGTGGCTGGTTTCAAGGGAAAAACTTATTATCCCCTACATTCCATTTGAGATTTTTTTTACTGTAAGTGCTGCAAAATAATCAGTAATTTTAAATCTCATTTTTATAAGGAAGCGCACCTTGAAATCTACTTGTTACACACCAAGGACTTTCACATCCACCTCTACATCAGTAAATAATTTACTTTCTGTTCTGTTATCCAAAAAAGTACCAGAATTAAGAGCATTAACCAAACATCTTTCAGCAGCCAGTTAAAAACTGAACAAGACCGAAAAGTCCAGTCAAAAGGAAGAAATATTCACCCTCTCCATCTCAAAAGACACTAGAATAAAGGATGCGGGCAAGAGTCTGAATATAGCTCCTTTCTTTCACCAATTTTGTTTAAAAAACCAAAGCAATCCATTTTAATGTTTTAATGTTATGTAGCTTTATTTGAAAGTGACTTAGTGTTTTGGTAACACATTTTTTTATACAAAATTGATACAATGAAAAATAAATTTCAGAGGTTTCCTAGAGCAGATCACAGGCTGTAAACTCACACTCATATGTACTATATATAAAAAGGTAACTTTTTTCAGAGCCTTGTTTGCAGACCAGCACCAAGTGATCCTGAAAATCTAGTTTTACTCTACGTGCCAAAAAAACCTAAGCCCACCCAAAACCTTGCTTCCTAAGCAACCAAAGTCTTGTTGCAGTTGTTCTACCACACTGTATTTCTAATTTGTGACAAATAGTACATCAGAAACACATCAAGATTTCCAACAGCATCTTTGGTGATTAAAGATCAACTTTTACATACCTGGTATTGTAAAGGTTTTTAAGGAGTGATGGTCAACAAGGTATTTGGACAAAACTTTATGAATTGCCATTTCCAAAGAACTCAAATTCATTTAAAGAAAAAAAAAATCCAAAGCCTATTTCATTTCAGCAGGCCAATTTCATAGATCTCAGGATCACTAATTATTTTTATTCCTATGTTTGCAGTACCTCAAAATGCCATCATATAAACTAGCAGTATTAACAAGATCCAGAGGGGAAAAAAAAAAAACAAAAACACCAACCCTATACAGTCCTGCAATTCTTGTACCATTCCTGTGACATACTCAGTAGAAAGTAAGGCTCCTCTCAAATCTCAGCCTTTTTTTATTTTCACTTTTGCCTGAAGTCAGGTTTCTCAAATAGAAAATCTATTTTGAGAACAAATTTCACAGTTCGTCAATCACCCCATTTCTGGGGTTACAACTGTAACTTGGCATCATGCCACTCTTGTAGGCACAGGAAAGTTACTGGTTCTCAAATATTAAGGCTGCAGAGAGCTACCAGGCAGGAGTAAAATACTACTACTCCAGCTGAGATCCTTATACTTGCTGTTGTTTCTATCTCACAAAGCAAAATGTCACATTATACTTTGTAGAAGACTGCAAGGGTCTGTTTTCTGCTTGCTCCCAGGCTTGCTTCTCACTTCATTACTTTTGGGCTCATCAATTTGACTTGTTTTACTGTGGCCACTCACATAGGTGTGCTAGGATCAGTGTCAGTATAAAAGGATGTTAATCCAGTAGCCTCAGAAAATATGCAACTTTAATTCTTTCCTAGAAATTGGAAAATTTGCCTAGAAATGCCAGTTCCTTTTTGGGATCTTTGCCTTTTTCTTTCATCTCCAAAACTAACACTAATACTCCTTTCATCACTGCTCTCCACCCTGTGATACCAATGTAAACAAAACCCAGTGACAGAATAATCAAGTTTTGCCAGTGAAAAAAGCACCATACTGTTAAACCTTTGTTAATTTTAGTAGAGTTACAGCAGCATTTAGAGACCAAAGCCTCACCCATACTATTGCTTAAAACCCTGCTCCCAGATCCTCTGTGTTAACGTACTCTGCAACACTTTGGATCTGGGTATTAGAAGAGATATTGAACATACTATGTGATCACAGGAACATGGATGGTAGTTTCTGTGAATTTCTAGCTACATAAATTTGTATGCAACAGACCTACTCTGTGCCTCATGCCATTTACAATCCAGATTTAGTTCTCCTGTGAGGCTGATGAATCATTCATTATTCACTGGCATTGAACAGTTTTGCCATAGCCACCTCTTCCAGCATCATAGTCTTGCCGATATTCATCTCGGACCTTATGAAAGAGGGAAAAAAAAGGGAAGCCCAGTAAAGACAAAGAAAAACAATTTCTCAAAAACTATTACACCATCAGAATATAGTCAAACTGAGCTCACAATATGTAAGTGGCCCAAAAGGAGCTGACTGACAAAACAGAAGGCAAAGTATATTGTGCAGAAGCCCAGAATACAGCATAAACTAACTTATTTTTAATAATGTCCAAGGGGATTCTTCAACAGAGACAAAGTGATGATGGCCAGCCTCCTACTTCAGCAGTAAAAGCATCTGATACCTGTTGAACTTTAGGTAAGCTAAGTGTTGTCTTTTGTGTTCTTGACAGGCTTCTATTTTCTGGGCTCATTTATAAGCATTATCTGCCCAAGATGCTAAGGTTCTGATAGTACTTTCAGTGGAATATATAAAAAAGTTAAGGAGTCTAGCATCACCATTCATAAGACATTTTACAGACTGATGTACAGTGCTATCTTACACAATAACTCTTAAATTGCTATTTCTGAAGTAGTTCTGAGTGTGTTCATTCAAAAAGCAGTTTGTTTGGCAAAGTCACCACTCCCTTAAGAACTAGGCTGTACAACAACCTACCTGGCCCCCTGATCTTCCACGACCATACTGTCTACCCTCCTTAAAGCCTGCATCCCAGTCTGTCCTTATGATCCTATCATCAAGTCTGGTTCCATTGATGTATCGCATGGCATTTTCAGCATCTCCTCTTGCATAATACCTTAGGAATAGGTTAGTGAAAAAAAGTATGCTTCTGTTTTCAACATGTGGAAAAAAGAACAATATCACATTAGCTACAAAACCAAGTATTTGCTTGAAATAGGCTCCTGGTTGGCTACTTCTAGAAACAACTACTTTCATGAAGTTACATGGGCTGAGAAAACTGCTAGTAAAGCAGAGCAACGTGCAGGAATTCAAGCATACAAAAAATGCACCTATTGAATCAAGTTCTTTAACCACACTCACCCTTAAAAGCATAAAGCTCTATTACTAAAGAAAGAATGAGAAGCCCCATGCATGCTCCGTTCATGCTGCAAACTATCACCATTTTGGTGTGTTTGCTGGAACCAGTAACATTGATCTTCAAAGAGACTTGCATGTAAAGAAGTCAACGCATGACAGGGATGCAAGATACCAACAGAAACTTTAAGCTTGCATGAAAAGAAAAACCTCTTTACTTGAGCACAGAGAATATGCTTTTACTGCAGACACCAACTATCTAAAAAGTCTCTGGCTTAAAGTATCAGAGTGAAAGCAATGTAGCAACCCCCACTCGACGTGCAGTGTATGTTTGCTCTCTCTCGCTCCGGACTCCCTCAGACACTTTAGCAACTGAGTAATCTTATCCTCGGATAATTATCCCGTGATTCAGAGCCTGCATTTCAGTTCACCCACGCCTTCACCGCTTCTGCCCCACCGCTGCAGCGGCCTGCGGGCAGCACAACCAGACGCCGCCCCAGCACGGGGCCCGCTCCCCCCGCCCCGACTCCAGCGGCCGCAGGGCAGCAGTGCGGGGTCCGCAGAAGGATACTCCACGAAGCAGAAGCCGCAGGCGGTTTTCTTCACTTTGTCCAGCCCCATGATGACCTTCTTGATGTCGCCGCTCTTGCCGAAGAGCTCGTGGATCTGCTCCTCCGTGGTGTAGAAGGAGAGGTTCCCCACGTACAGCGTGCAGCTCTTCCTCAGCAGCCGCTCCTGGTCGTACCGCGTCCCCTGAGCCGCAACGACAGCGTTACCCCCACGGCGGGCCCACCACCAGGCCTGGGCCCGGACATAGCCCAGGCAGACCGCACAGCCCCCGTTCCCAGCAGCGGCGGTGGCGCCTCGCTCACCCGAAAGTGCTGGTCCCGGTACTGGCTGAGATCCGCGTAGGAATCGCTGCGCAGGATGCTCAGCGTCCCACCGGCAGACATAGCTGCGAGACCGCTCCCTCAGCACCTTCCCGCCCCTCAGCGCCTCCCGGCCGGGCAGCCAATGGGAAAGCGGGATACAGCTCTCGCGAGAGCAGGCGGGGGGCGGGCCGGCTCCCGCTCTGCGGAGGAGGCGCTTCTCGCGAGAGCGGGCGCAGAGGGGTGGTGCTGCGGCCGTTGCTGTTCTCGCGAGAGCTGGTGCCGGGTGGTGTTGCGGCCGTTGCTGTTCTCGCGAGAGCTGGCGCCGGGTGGTGCTGCGGCCGTTGCTATTCTCGCGAGAGTTGGAGCAGGGAGGTGCTGTAGGCGGGTGCTGTTCTCGCGAGAGTTGCGCAGGATGGTGCTGAGGCGGGTGCTGTTCGCTCTCCTCAGCAACCCGCGGCTGATCGAAAAACTCTCCGAGTCGCGGCCCATCCGCGCCGCCGCCCGCTTGACCGCCGCCGCCATCACCCGCGGGCAGCTCAGCGCCCGCCAGGCGACGCGAGGTTTCGCCCCCCGTTTGCTTCGCCTGCGCGACACCTTTCTCAAAGAGCTCAAGGACGGAGCGCGGGCTAAGGGCTGGCCCGGGCCCCGAGGGCCCGGTCGAGGCGGCCGACCCGGAGGAGGGCCCTGATCGCCGCGCCAAGAGGGAAGCAGCAACGGAGCCACCGCAGGATGCGGCCAGGGAGGAGAAGGAAGCGGCCACCGCTTCCCTGCGCCGAGCCCAGGAGGACGAACGCGTTAGAGCCGGCGGGTGAACGGGCCCCGGGGCCTCGGTGACGGACTGCTGGTGACAGCCAGACCCCATCAGCCTCTCCTGAACCCGGGCGTGGTGCACTGGCGTTGGGACCCCAGCAGCGTTACCCCGGTCTGCGTCATGCAGATGGCGAGCTGCAGACTGATGCTGGTTTTCCATAGCATATAGGCGTGAGTGGTTCCCGAGTCCAAGCATGAAAACGTGAAGCATGCTGCTTATTGGTATGATGGACTTTCATTTCACAGTCAGTTTACACTTTCCACCGTACTCAGTAACACGCAGAAGGCAGACTTACATTAAACATCATCCAGAATACTGTCAAGATTATCACTTTTAAGTGCTTGATAAGAAACTCAAAATAAAAACAAATGTCTCACTGGATTTCCTTTAACGATGTCTGTCTATACAACAGTAATATTCTACATTTGATACAACTTCGATACAGAAAGAGCTCTAAATGGCGATGATGATGGTGATGGATAGGATAATTGCCCATTTTACAGGTAGGTAAAAGAGATTCAGTAGCACACCTCAAGTCTATGGTAGCAAGAAGGGTTTTGGGGAAAAAATGACTAATAGAGCTATCCTAACTATAAATATGGAAAAGAATGTATCCATCTTAGGTGATGCACCGGGCTGGTTTACTTAAGTTGCTGTATCTAACAACATGTGAGACTAATAGTAGTGAAAGGTTCTATGAAGGAAGGTTAACTATTTAGTCCACCTGACTAGATACTTAGTAACTGGGGAGGATTATTTCTATTCTTTGTATCGCCCCAGGTGAAAAGAAACTTGCAAATTATCTGAGATACAGTTTCCAGCATTGCTGATAAAATGAAACTTCCCACCAACAAAGACTTAGGTGTGCGTGGATGGAAAAACTGCATCTATGGTGTAAGTGATAGAGGTCCAGCTTGGAGACGAAAGCAGCGTATTTTCAGGCTGAGTTAGCATTTGTAGTCCAGGTTCTCTTCCTGACTCTATCACAGGTTACCTGTGCAGCAGTAGAGGTGTCATTGTGCCAAGGGAATGGTGCTCCATCACATCCCTGAAGAATTTCTGAGATTGCCAGTGATCATAAGTTTTATGAAAATAATTTTCAAAACTTAAGCTGTTTTAAGAAAGCTGCAAACAGTAAGCAGGACGTAGAGTACCAGCTGTGGCAGATGGCTGTCATCCCAATGTAAGAGAGCATAAAAGGAAATTAACTTGGAAAATACATTTGGTGTCATGATGCTTTCATAACTACTTCCACTACTTTGTGAGTCATCAGTACAAACATACATGCACCCCCTGTCCCCTTATCTCCCCCAAAACATGCACCTTTAATTTACAGCCTTGTCAATAATGAGGGATGAAGGACGTGAGATGAACATGTAGGGGAGACAACACAAAATGTTTTACAAGAGAGCAAGAACTATGTTCCTTAAAAATCTTGCTCATCTGTATAATTTGGAAGATACAGGCAAATCCTTCACACAGGGATTTTTCCCAGCATCCCTTTTGAGCCTGGCATCAACCAAAACTGTCTCTGTTAAAAACCTGGCTCATAAGACCTTACGTAAAGCTGTGTGGATGAAGAGCTGCAAAAACCTTTACTGTCTTTGTGAGCAGAAATAATTCAAGTGTTGGATTCATTTCATAGAGAGAGGCTTGACCTAAAATGCATGTGTGAAATTAGTATCTCCCTTCATGTCAGGATGTTTTGGATCCAGAAATTCACACAGGCACAATCAAAAATTGCTAGCTGTGCTTTTCTATTAAGCATATACATCATTCTCAGCTGAAGCTTGGGTTTATTTGTATCCCACTTTAAAATCAGACAGCTCTCCCAGTCGGGAGCCGGGATGGGATCTGTCATTCTCACTAAGCTGATTTAATGGAGAGCTGTCACTGAAGGGGAGGGGGGCGCAGGGGATGCGGCTTCTCCCTTGGATCCTCACGTGCTCCCCTGCAGCAGAACCGGTGGAGCTCTAACCCCACAGTAAGCCAGTCTGGAGATCCATCTGGTCAAACGCATACAAAGGATCAAATCCCTGTGAGTTACCCATGTTCTGTCTGCATCAGCTGAGTGAACCAGCCCTTGGCAGGGCTTGCTCTGCGCCACTGCTGGGGGGAGAGCCACGCCAGAGCGATGAAAGCTGTGAGGCTGCAGCGGGAGCGCGCAAGGGAAGGGCTGCCCCGTTTGCACGGCTCAACACCACACGGGCTTAACGCCATCGAAATGCAGCATTCTCACTGCTGCATGTAATACATTGCGTGGCCGCAAGAATGGAACGGTGGCAAGAAATGCTAAACAGGCAGAGCTTGGATTTTAGGATTTAGCACAAGTACTTACACTGAAGCATCTTCCACGTTGTCAATCAGATTCTGTCAGATCAACACTGGGGATTTTTCAGGACAGTATTCTGGTGGCACTGCCTATACTGTGACTGCAATCTGGTACAACGACATTTATAAGGGCATAAAAATAAAACCTTATTGAGTCAGACCAGCTTTTGTCTACTGCAATAACCTCTCAACAAGATCAAGTGCCAGGTCCTGCACTTGGGCCACAATAACCCCATGCACCGCTACAGGCTTGGGGAAGCGTGGCTGGAAAGCTGCCTGGCAGAAAAGGGCTTGGGGGTTCTAATTGACAAGTGGCTGAATACGAGCCAGCAGTGTGCCCAGGTGGCCAAGAAAGCCAATGGCACCCTGGCTTGTATTAGAAATAGTGTGACCAGCAGAAGCAGGGAGGTGATTGTCCCCCTGCACTCAGCACTGGTGAGGCCACACCTGGAGTATTGCGTCCAGTTTCGGGCACCTCAATACAAGAGAGACATCAAGGTGCTGGAGCAGGTGCAGAGGAGGGCAATAAAGCTGGTGAAGGGCCTGGAGAATAAATCGTACAAAGAACTATTGAGGGAGCTGGAACTGTTTAGTGTGAGGAAGGTGACTGAGGGGTGACCTCATCACTCTCTACAACTACTTGAAAGGACACTGTAGAGAGGTTGGTGCTCGTCTCTTCTCACAGGCAATTAGCAATAGAACAAGAGGGAATGGAGTCAAGCTGCAACAGGGTAGGTTTAGACTGGACATTAGGAAGAAACTCTTCACAGAAAGAGTGGTCAGGCACTGGAATAGGCTGCCCAGGGAGGTGGTTGAGTCACCATCCTTGGATGAGTTTAAGAGTCGTTTAGATGTGGTGTTGGGGGATATGGTGTAGAGAAGAACTTTGTAGAGTAGGATATATGGTTGGACTCAATGATCCCAAGGGTCTTTTCCAACCTAGATGATTCTATGATTCTCTCCAGCAGCTGAGTTAATGCCTACTATCAGTAAAAAACCCACAAAATCTACAAACCCTCTGTCAGAGATTATAAGAACCTTCAAAAATAAATTTCACACGGAAAGAGCTAAGTTTGAATCACAGTTTTGGTGGGCTCTGATCTCATATGTTCATATGAAACACCACAGGGGCTGAATAACAAATTTTAAGGAGGTTCTATCCAGAACTGGCTATACTGGTGAGGGTAAGAGCATGAAGAAAAGGAATAAAGAGACTCAGGGGAGCTCCCAGCGCCGCTGCTTGTGCTGAAGGTTGGTCTGTGAAGAGGAAGGTGTCCCAGCACATCTAGGCAGCGCCCAAGTAAAGTGAAAAAACTAGAAGACTAGAAGATTGTTCTCCTAAAATCTAAAGGCTCCGCTGATCTCTGTCTAGCTGAAGGATGTATAGTCCTAACTGACTTCTCCAATTTGCACTGAACAGGAAGGGTATTTGTGGTGGGTCTTCCATTGATAAGTGTGGAAATATCAAAGTCTCATTCTTGAACGAGACACCACATTTTGTAATTGTGGCTCTGACTGTACCAGGGATTATAACAAAAAAATGACAGTCATTGCAGGTAAAATTGTTTGCTCGCTGCCCTACTGTCCGGCAGAGGGTTTCTTCTCCAGACCCGGCCATATCAATGACTTCTATATGTGTGTCTCTCTTCTTGATATTAAGCAGAGACCTAGGAGGCATGTAGGTGTGAGCAAAAAGTAGAGTGTAGTGTCTTGGATGGTTTGAGGGCTCCGGAGAATGCATGAGTTGCTCCAGGTGAAACAAACAGGGTATCAGTCCTCCCTGGTGTAAGCACCCAAACAGCAAAGCCCCGAGAACATTGAAAATAATAATGATGTGTTTCCACTTCCCAGCTCTGTCCTGTGCCGTGCTGAACAGGACCAACGGCAGGATGAGAGGAATGAGAAACCGAGGTTCTTGGTGACTGAACAGGGAGAGAAACGCCAAAGGAACAAAATAGAAGAGCAGTAATGTCGGATTGCCCTCAGAATGCACTAGTAGCCCAGGTGACCCATGGTAATATGGTTTGACCCACATTAATTGATGGATATATTTCTTTAACAGTTTAAAACCAGCAGCGATGGCCAGAATATGTAAGATCCCAAAGAGCATTATTCCGTTGACTGTAAAATGTGTAACTCGTGGGTGACTTCCATGCAGCGCCAGATTATGAGGATTAAGATTATAGCTGAGGAAATTGAACGGGGTTACTATCATTTTCTCATGTAATTGACCTATCACATCAAACAGGCTGCTGTTCTTAATGCTGTAGAGGTTGTCTAAGCCCACGGAGGTAAAATAGAAGGTGTCGGCTGTTATGAAAACAACGGCAGTAAAACATGCACATAGGACAAGCTTCAAAAAGTGGTTTATGACAGTTTTAATGCTCTTTTGAGAGTCAACAATTAAACCTGCCCAGTAAAGCAGGGGCATTAGAGCAAACGCCAGAAAGGTTGGCCTGTTGAAAAACCCTGCAGTGGTTACAATACCTATGAGCGGGCTGCTCGTAGGCTCTGCCACGCTGCCATCGGCCTTTCTTGAGGAAACCAGCACCATCAGAAGAGCAAAGAGAAGTCCTTCGAGCGCGTTGGTAAACGTTCTTGTATAAAATACCAGAGTGACATAGGAGCCGGCAAGAAGTACCAGTGCTTTCCACGGATCCGCTTCCCAGAGAGGAGCTAATCGATAAACGCTGTAGTCGAGGATGAAAGAAAAGATGGTAAAGAGAAGGCGAGGTGACACGAGAAGGGTGTAGCTGTTGATGCAACTTGAACATACATCCAGCTGCTGCAAAGACTTGATCACCCAGTAGGTAACTCCAGATGTCATTAATGGGAAAACAACTGTTCTGCAAGGAGAGCTGGAAAGGAACTCCCACGGGTAATAGACCTGTAGGTTTAAAATGTCTCCTATAAAGGAAGAAAAAAAGGAAAAAAAAAAACCTCCATACATACTTAATATATTTTATTCAGTAGGGATATATTTTATTCAGTAGGGATGCAACTTAGCATGAGAGGCATCACGACGCAGAGCAGCCCCTGAACTGAAAATTTCGACCTTGAGAGCAGTCCCGGGGGGGGCCCGTTCATCTTTGCAAAGCCGAGAGGGAAAAGAGCCCGCTGGGGTGGGCGTTCCAGGCGGGGCCGGGCAGGGGCGGCCGCAGCCCCGCTCCGGCCCCGCTGCAGCAAAACGGGGGCGCGCAGCGGCCGCTCAGTTCCCCTTTGGGTGCAGATCTCCGCAGATCCCCACCCGGGACGGTGCCTCCGCGTCCCCCGCGGGAACCGCATCCCCGGGCTCTCTCTCCGCCGGGGCCCGCCCCTCCCGCCGCCTTACCTGCCATCCCCTCGGGCGACTGGAAGAACTCGTCGGGGTGCAGGTAGCCGGCCTGCGGCAGCAGGCACCAGCCGGCCCGCAGCGCGGCCAGCAGCGCCCACAGCCCCCGGACCCACATGGCGCCACCGGCACCGGCCCCGCCGCCCAACCGGGCACCGGCACCCTCCCCGGCCCCGCCAGGGGGCGCGCCACCGCCGGCCCGGGCGCCGCAGCCCGTCGCGCATGCGCAGCCCCTGGGCAGAGCTCAGCAGGCGGGTTCGATGCACCTTCAATTGTAGTTATTTCATAATCCACCGAAACCCAGGAGCGGCGCAGGGATGAGGCGAGCGGCAGGCAGTGCCGGTGGGTGGCAGCCTCCATCCTGCCTTCTCGCTGGTGACGACGGTTCACAGCCCGTGTGCCGGGAAACGTCATTGCTGCCCCTTCCTCACTGCACTGAGCAAAGCTGAAAATAATTTTTTTTAAACTGCTTTTCTGTAGCGTTGTATTCACAAAGATAATCTACTGCACGAGGAAAATTACTATGCAATTCCTGCCTACAAACACAATCTTTCCATGAAAGAAGGGAGGCCAGTAATCCAAACATTTCTACCAGCACTGCAAGGAACCCCAGCACAGGTAGGCTCCTGCAGGGGCCCTCTAAGGACTGGAGCAACGCCTGATAACAGGGAGGCAACTAGGACAGCAAGAGCCTCACAAAAGGACTTGGAGATCTAGCTATATATTTTATTTTAAAAGCCACTCTGCAAGCTAGAAAGGATCTGAATGTGGCAGAAACACACACACCAGACACGTGGAGTATCTAATACATCAGCTATGTATTTGACAGGTAAAATTTAACACAGCATATTCAAAGGTATACACACAGAAAACCATGGCTCAGAGGCTTCAACTAAATGGCCAGAGGTGCCATGGGTCCCTGGCTGACATGAGCAGAGCTCACACCCAAGGACTTCAATCCTCTGTAACTGTGGTTTGGGATGCTGCTGCAGACATAGCTCTAAAATCTAATATTAAATAGCCAAAGGCCATATTTTGTCTCTTTCTCTCTTAAACCCAGGTAACCTTGGAGGAAATTAAATGGGTAAGAAAAGATGGGAAGTGGGATAAGAGATGCAAGGACTTAGTTTTGCACTTTCCGGGGAAATTAACACTATGTAGTTTAGCTATCAGCCAAAGTCTGGATAAGTTGTAATTACTTCTTGTGTTTATTTGTTAGTTTTCATTTATTTACATTATTATTATTCAGCAGGCCCCAGCCGGCCCGCAGCGCGGCCAGCAGCGCCCACAGCCCCCGGACCCACATGGCGCCACCGGCACCGGCCCCGCCGCCCAACCGGGCACCGGCACCCTCCCCGGCCCCGCCAGGGGGCGCGCCACCGCCGGCCCGGGCGCCGCAGCCCGTCGCGCATGCGCAGCCCCTGGGCAGAGCTCAGCAGGCGGGTTCGATGCACCTTCAATTGTAGTTATTTCATAATCCACCGAAACCCAGGAGCGGCGCAGGGATGGGGCGAGCGGCAGGCAGTGCCGGTGGGTGGCAGCCTCCATCCTGCCTTCTCGCTGGTGACGACGGTTCACAGCCCGTGTGCCGGGAAACGTCATTGCTGCCCCTTCCTCACTGCACTGAGCAAAGCTGAAAATAATTTTTTTTAAACTGCTTTTCTGTAGCGTTGTATTCACAAAGATAATCTACTGCACGAGGAAAATTACTATGCAATTCCTGCCTACAAACACAATCTTTCCATGAAAGAAGGGAGGCCAGTAATCCAAACATTTCTACCAGCACTGCAAGGAACCCCAGCACAGGTAGGCTCCTGCAGGGGCCCTCTAAGGACTGGAGCAACGCCTGATAACAGGGAGGCAACTAGGACAGCAAGAGCCTCACAAAAGGACTTGGAGATCTAGCTATATATTTTATTTTAAAAGCCACTCTGCAAGCTAGAAAGGATCTGAATGTGGCAGAAACACACACACCAGACACGTGGAGTATCTAATACATCAGCTATGTATTTGACAGGTAAAATTTAACACAGCATATTCAAAGGTATACACACAGAAAACCATGGCTCAGAGGCTTCAACTAAATGGCCAGAGGTGCCATGGGTCCCTGGCTGACATGAGCAGAGCTCACACCCAAGGACTTCAATCCTCTGTAACTGTGGTTTGGGATGCTGCTGCAGACATAGCTCTAAAATCTAATATTAAATAGCCAAAGGCCATATTTTGTCTCTTTCTCTCTTAAACCCAGGTAACCTTGGAGGAAATTAAATGGGTAAGAAAAGATGGGAAGTGGGATAAGAGATGCAAGGACTTAGTTTTGCACTTTCCGGGGAAATTAACACTATGTAGTTTAGCTATCAGCCAAAGTCTGGATAAGTTGTAATTACTTCTTGTGTTTATTTGTTAGTTTTCATTTATTTACATTATTATTATTATCATTATCTAGCTTTACCTTTTTTTTTAATGTTGAATATCTTTTTATCCCAGAATCATGAGGTGGTAGCTGCAGTCAGGAGGAGGCTGCCTGCCAGCATCACAGCAACATCTGTTGTTATTGCAGCCAGAGTTAAAAATAAAAACAGTATTCTACAAGCCAGTAGGTCTACAAACAGTTAATCAGAAGTCAACTGCTTTGTTTCACTAACAGCAAATAGAAGTTTCATGCACAGGCACTCAGGTAACCCCATGTAGGAGGACAGCTGCAACAGGGCAGACATCTCAAGCAGTGAGAGCACTGGTTGTGGAAAGTCAAGAAGCTCAGTGGATGCACACATTTGGCTTGATTCTCTCTCTGCTAACAGGTAGTCCCTTCAAGTCTCTCTGGCCTTCAAGTTTCTTCTGGCTAACTAGTGACTTCAGAGATTCTCCCTCCTTTCTTCTACTAGAAGGTGGAGGACCTTGACCGTGGCAGAAGCTGAATTCTGGACTGCAAGTCATCTCTCTGTCCACAGCCTGTCTGTGCTCTGTGCACTTACTTCTTCTGGCAGCAGAGCTCAGGAGAAACTGTTGCCAGCAGCAGGGTAGGATGGGATAAGCAGGTATGGAGGAGCCTGAATGTAACCAGCCAGAAGGCCAGAGGATTCACTAGACAAGATTTTTGATGCAGAAATTCTTCTACAGGTCAGAAACCCAGTATCCAACTAACAGCACCTGGGATTCCTCCAGCCCAGGGTAGTTCAACATCAGCAATGATGGCAAAGATGCTCCAGTTTTGGACTGATCTTGTAAATCATGATGACACTGTATTGCTGGCTTCTGCCCCAAATTCCACCCCATCCCCACAGACAGGGGCAGCTTCCAGCCCCACCCCACACCCCTGACGAGAGGGGCTGTTAGCACTTGCCCTGCAAAGAGTCAGGAAGAGGCATTCAAATGTGAGCACAAGACGTTATCCAAACAGCAGCTGATCTGAAGAAGAGGTGGTAGGGCAGAGGTGGTGATCTGAAGAAGAGGTGGAAGTTGCCAGTTGGGCCCTGCTAGTCCAAGGCTTGTATCTGACATAAAGTAAGAAGGGGAATGACAGTTGTCATGAGCAGGTATTGTCTTATCTGATTCCCTGCCCCAGCGCACTCTGGTGTTTGCATCCCTTCAAGGGACTCGATATATTCACTCCCCAGCCATTCTGCGTACGTCCTCCTCTCCTCTACTGGCACAATCTCCACAGCAGAATCCTTGAAGATCAAGTCTTTTCCTTGAAAAGTTGAAGAATCAAACATTTTGAATCCATTTTCATTGCTGCTATTTCCAAAGTAGGCCTGAAAACAACACAAAATTTTCAGTATTTTGCAAGATTAGTTCCTCTCATATAATGTGAAAGACAATAGAAACTGTTTTGTAGATGAAAAGTTAAAACACAATTACAGAATCTCTATTATGTGTTTGGTTTTTGACGCTCCAGTAGATCAGATACAGATTTCTGCCACTGGCAATTACAAGAACACATTTGTGATGTGTTAACTTCAGTATGAACAGGGACCTAGCCGAGGCAGCCACACATGGTCTGCCTAGATGGTTTACCATGTATGTGACTGCAGCCTAAATACACCCAGTGACCTTGCATTCCTAGGAAAACTCCAGGATGGAAAAGCATTAGCATGTACTCTATTTCTTGTAGACTTCCAAGTCATGCAGTTTGGGGGAATACCTTAAGCTCCAGGATAATTGGTATTGAAACCAGTGGCTGGGCAAAAAGTTGAAATCCCTTGTGCACCAGGGGGGTTTCAGTAGGAGAATTACATGGGCTGTATTTTACCTTCTCCATCCCACTCCAGCAACAGGGGTCTGCCTGGTGCATGTGACACAGGGGACACAGTATGGCAGCATGGTCCTGTTGTCTTTATCCTTGGTCTGCATTAGACCATACACAACTCCCCATAGCGCAAGTGGATTATTAGTACCTGGGCTTTGTCCAGCAGTCCATACAGGGCAAAGACGCTGGTATTGGGGTGAACCATAACAGCCTGAGCTGGCACTCGAGCCAGGTGACACTCAGCAAACTGGTCGACTTCAGCACGGGCACCATTTAGACACAGTAACTGGAAATCACTGGACTTCAAGTTTTGGGCCCAACTCTCAGTATTCTTACCTGAAAAAAGAAACTGGTCATTGTCACTCATTGAATGCTTTAGAGAAAAGAGTTTCTAGAAAAATAACTGAATTATAATAAAGAGATATGTAAAATTAAGTACCATCTGTGTTCTCAAACACTGTTGAATGCTTCACAAAGGCCACATCCCCAGAGTCCTGTGCCAGGCACCTTTAGGAAATAAGAGATAAAAATTCAATTCAAAGCATCTTTATGCGACCCACTTTTTTTTTCCTAATAACTGACAGTTTTACAATTCAATTTTTCTTACATACATTTCTGCAAAGAAATGCACTGGACCCTGAGGTAATCAGCAAAAACAGAGAAATGAAGCATCTTGAAAGGAGAGAAAACCAACATATTTGCAAAGTATTAAAAAAATATTCCGAATTAAGAATTTTAAGATAGGAATAGTGGAGAACATTTTGATTTAAAACAGTGTGAGAAACAACAGAAAAGGCCAATATTAGATGAACAAAGAAAGAGAAGATACATTGTGTGCTACTCGATGCAGTATTCCCCATCTGCAAACAGTCACTTTCATTCCTTTTTCAATCATGTACAAATTACATGTCATTATGACATTTTTGAATAAAATAATTTGAGTGCAAAACCCAAGAGTTTATCAGCATCTGCATATGTGCCATGTGCACACTCACATGTACACTTTATTTCCTCTTTTCTTTCCAAGGTAGAGTGACCTTGGTGCTCGCACAGACGCTGGTTTCACAGCCCTGGCACGCTGCAGATACCCAGCTCATCTAACTGCGGTTTCTAACGGTACCGGTCAGGAAATAAGTTCAGTGTCCACTAATTTTCTGAAGCGGCAGCAGCCCAACGTGCCAAGGGCACCTAAAAATCTCCTCCCCTCCTACGAGTGTGGTGCCCATTCGAGGGTTTCTGGGAGATGGTGCAGAAGAACGCACCTTTACCAGCTCGTGCTGTTTCCCGTGTTACACTGTGGTGGTGTCTAACACACGATGCGACAGGCCCCACAGACTGATAGGAGATTTTTGCTAGGCCTGAAATATGAATTCAGCAGACAGAAGAAATACGTGGCCCTTGCTTCAGACAGCAAGTAATACATCAAGAAAATCAACCTCAAATCAGCAAGCTGCTGAGCCAAAAAAGAGTTCTAACTCCCCAGGTACTTGGGTAGCGTGTGCTGGCAGAGGATCTGTGGGCAACAGATTTTAGTGGTGGTACCTTGCAGTTTATCCCACAAGTGTTTTCAAGAAGCACTTCCTAAACCAGGGTCACTAAACCCACCAATCAAGAGATGTAAAACTGTACCTGAGCATGGTTGATGTAGTACAAAATGTGAGGGAAAATTATTATTGCTGACAGATACCTAAACCACACGTATTTTATGTGTACCTGGTTGAACATGAGCAGTTTTTATCAAAGTTCTTATCACCACGTGTCTGACACTGTCATGCAGAGCACAGACAACTCAGCAGGTGCTGTTCAGTGCATTCCCTGTCAGAAAAGGCTGTTCCCAAAAGATTTTTTGGAATCTGGAAATCTGAGGCTGCATTTTAAGCCCATGTCAGTCACCAGCCATAACTCATTCTCCTTTCAGAGAGGATCACCTAACTATCACAGCCAGACCCATCCCTACCTTCCAGAACATTGTGACTCTCCATTTTTCACCTAAATCCTAACCTTCTAAATACCTAAAACTTTCCACATCACTCAATGAATTAAATGTCTTCTCTACTAAAAAAAAAAAAAAAAAAAAAAGGTACTGTTCTCCATATAAAGCTTGGGCTGTATGGACACTATTAGCAAAGGCACAGGTTTAAATATGACCAAGGCTCATACAGCCCATCACAGCATTTGCATTTGCTGCTTATTCATTTGGTGGCGGTTCAGCTCTGTTAATCTCGGGAGTGCAGCAGAGGATCTGGAGTTTGCCTGCAAGGCACGTACCACAGCAGAGCAGCTGGGCACAACTAAATAGATTTGCTAAAAGTAGTTACCAAAGTCTAGCACTCCAATATTTTGCTGTTGAAGTCTCCTCCCCTGAAGGAAAAAGACCGGTCACTGCCAGCTCGTTAGGTGCACTGTTGCCTTCAGAGGTGAAGGTCAGGAATAGGAAATGCCACTTCCATATCTAAGAGTTTTGTAGTCTTTGGGTACGGCCCCGTAAGTAGACATCTGCTGTTACACAAAGTATTTATTCCATTTTATGTATTTTCCTGCTGCACCTTTAACAAATCTTGTTTTGAAGAGGATTTCATATTTGAACATTGGCCGTAATTGTTTGTGCTGCTCAGAAACCTACAGTCACGTACAGCCACCAATGAGTAAGGGTAGCGAAGACCACTCCTGACTCCCCCTCACTAGCCTACCACTGGCAGCATGGGCTCAGAGCAGCCAGATTCTGGCTACTACTTGCCTGCTTCCCTGCTAAAGCTCTTTATGGATAACCCGACCATTCAGAGTGGCAGACAGCCTGTCACAGAGATTAAAGCAAGACTGGAGACCGATGACAACCCACGTGGTCCTCACTAGGTGGGTGCCCATTGCTCTGTAAACAGAGACATGGACTTGGCTGTTGGGCTGGCTGGCTGCAGGCCATGGAGCTGGCAAAAGGCTTTGCCATTATCTAACGTAATGCCTTATGACATACCTGTGTTGCTGAAGACATCTGGGGACACACGTCCCACTTCATTGTCGTGTCTTGTCCTCAAACCAGGACATTCATTTATGGCACATGCCATCTAACTGTAGCAACAATAAACACTTTCTGCTGGCTGTGATGGAAAATAGTTCCTCCTTGCATTTTGACAAGGTGACAGACTAAATAACAACCATATGTATTAATTACCTGAAGGCTCCACTGTAGCTGTAGTAACGCTCCAGGCTACTTGCGCTGCATTTATGGTTTCCACTGTTATCTCCAATACACAGTTGGCAGAGTTTTGCCGGGTAATTGTCCTGCTTAGCTGAAGGCACGCAGCTGGCAGAGAAGAACTCGCTCACCGCTGGGGAAAGACAGACAAAGCAATATAATGAGTGAAAAGTGTGAGCTCTTCACAAGAAAGAAGTAATGAACTGTCATGAAGTTAGAACCAATGCAGATTTCAGTAGAACACTAGAAACACGACTTACAGCTTCCTTACCGGAATTCACAAACTACAACTTTTAAAATATTTCCAAAGTTGGTTATGTAATGAAACCTAAGGGCTCCCTGGGAGATAGGAAACAGGCAGACAAAACTCAAATCTGGAGCCCTATGGTCATAGATTCTTTGCTGCTTGTGCTACATTGCTCCATCACCGAATAAAATTCAGGATGGGTATACAGTTACTGCAATGACATCCCAGTGGAGGTACCACCTAAAGTGGATACACCTGTATAGACGGTGAGTTTCTGTGACTATCCAATTATTGATACCTGACTTGGATCAAGAAAGAGCTGAGACAGGTGTGAGAGCAGGATTTTCAAGACCATATGAAAAGCTTGAAGTTGATTAAATACAAAAAGCAATGCACTTCAGATGCATTTCTGAAAATTGAAATAAAATTTTGTAATTTGATACATCGAAGCCAAGGCTTCCATTGAGACGAATCTGGACAGACTGGAGAACAGGCTGATGGGAACCTCAAAGTTCAACAAAGACAAATGCAGAATCTGCTTTTAGGATGGAGTAAGACCATAAAAGGCTGGGGGCTGGCAGGCTGAAAACTGTAAAAAAAAAATCTGCCTGGACATGGCCCTGGACAATCTGATATAACTGGACCTGCTCTGAGTAATTGGTTGGACAGGATGACCACCAAAGGTCCCTTCCAACCTAAATCAGCCAACGATCTTGTGATAAAAGCAAGTAATACTTTTGCGTTAGATGTCACATTCTCAGTACGACCCCTCCATTAGTCTGCTCTGGGGCAAACTCAAAATGTCAAATCACATGACAAAAACAACACAAACAGATAAGCTTAATAGCAAAATTACTTCCCCGATTAAAGCTTATATTGAGACTGTTACTGTATTTTTGATATGTAGTACCGTTGTCTTACCTTGAGGAATATCACAGCCTCTGGTCTTAATAATGCCCCTCTTAATGAGCATACCAATGGGGATATTCCACCCAGCGTTTCTCCCCAGTCCTGTGTGGCAGGACTTCTTCCCCTTCAGGTCACTGATGGTGAATGCATTGGAGGAATTTCTTTTCACTAATACCACAGCATAGTACGCGTTGCTGGTGTCATCAGCTTGCAGAACAAAAAACAATTAAAAAAAAAACCAACAAAAAAACCCCACATTAAAACTTCCCTTAAGCGTTCCCAGTGCTTAATAATCATCTACAGATCCATTACACTCAAATGGTGCCAAGTTCAATTGCCCCAACAGTCAGCTGGTCAGGAAGTAGGAATGTACGTGTCATCATTCTTCACTTCTACCCCACAGCGTTGCATTCCCTTCCAGCCCGTACTGGCTCTGCTCTGCACCTGAACCCAACCATCTAGAGATCAACATGAACGTGTTCTTGCTAACACCAGCTCTTATAAATCTGTCCTTCTGAAAAACGACATTTGGGTCATTACTGATGTATCAGAAGTGCTTTAGGAAGTTATTTTTATGTGAAAACTCAAACCTGTATTAAAATTTCCATGAGTTTTGCAGCATATTGAAATTCTGCCACAAGTCCTCTTTTCATCAATAACTCTGAAGCAGCCACATTGACAGGAAGAATTTGTTTCTAAATAGGATTTACTGTGTAATTTCTGTATTTTTGCTTATGCTAAAAATATTTTGATTTTGTAAACACTGTTTTTTTCCATTGTAAATATTTTTTGTGGAATTGAAAAGACAAATAAAAAGGTACAAGACTCAAAACTGCCAAAGTCTTAACCTGGACCCGCAGCAGGACAGATAAAAGTTACCACAAACTCACTGTAGGAACCCATCCCATACTTATTTCCTCCTCTGTCCATGACGTGAGGATAATAATCCTCATTTCCTTTGAAAACAGCTTTCCCAGCAGGGCTAGGGAACATGGGCTGTGCTTTCAGACCTGTTTTCAAACAACCTGGAAAAATAAGGTCTATATTTACGTTTCCTGACCTCTTACCAGAGTAACTTTCTCCAGCAGCTGGTACAAGGCCGTATGTCTTCCCAGCTGTGTAAATATCAGCTCCACCCAGAACCACAGCATCAATTTCCTTTCTCTGAAAAATAAAATGAAATTTAGGATTTCTGTGGAAAAACAGCAGACGCCTTCCCTGCTACAACGATGACACCTCCAGCATCATACCTGTTGCATCTCAAAGGGCAAGTCTGACAGCAAAAGGGCAATATGCTGTGAAAGCAAACACCCTAAACCTGCATAAAGCATCATCAGTGAAACTAAGACAGGAGATCTCAGACTGCCCTCGTCATAACTGAGGATCATCAGGGTTCAGGGCCATCCGAACCACATGACCACCTCCTTGAAATCCAGTATTCAGCATGCATATCTCTGATTCTGCCTGCTCAGCAGAGAGCAGCTTGTGTTAATCTGGTTTATTGCCCAAGGATTGTAGCAGCCTACCTGGATCAGCTCCATGCACTGCTCCTTTGTCTTGGCTGACATACACTGAATTGCTGGTTTCAAATTCTTTTTCCTAAAGGCAACGGCCATTTCACCACATTTCCAAATCTCCTCAGTGGATACAACGCACCAGTTCAGGCTTTCTGGCAACGCTGCATAAAATTGGAAAGCAAACAGACAAGGAGGGATACACTTTGGCCACTGTCACGTATGTACCATAAATGTTGTGAAAAATGTTTACTTCTGTGCTTCTCTCCATCTCAGACTCACACATGATGAGGAAACCACAGAGTTCCCCAGACCAGCTGTGTGCCCACGCTGCAAACCTATCCAGGGTGAAGAAACAGCAGCTCCTACAATTGCCAGTTGTTACGTGCAGCCATAATGTCTTAGCTGAGCACAGCAAAACACACGCTGAACACAGGTTTCCTCACACCTGGCAGTCACTGACCACCCTGTGCCACAGCACAGAGCACATCTCGGAGGCTCAGCTGCCACGATTAAGATTCTTAAGGCAGGAATCCTTACAACTTCTGTTTCTGACTTTGCCAGAACGCACATCAAGTCATTCCTACATTCTTCCAACACTATAAAAGACCATGATATTTCAAAATAAAGAGCAACTCAGGGTTCCTTCAGTTTCTGGAGGAAATTCTTTGCTAGAAACCCATTCATCCATTCTTTATAGACCACTTCAGGATTTCACACACTACCGTTTCCCCTTGTTAGCAGGTAAGAAATGCAGTACCAGGCAGCAGTAGGAGCTTACCAGAGTAATGTCTCTCATACACCAGACAGGGTAGAAAATGCCTGCATCTTATAATACAAAGTGGGCCAGTTTGCACAGGAAAATATTCTGCGATGTGATACTGTTTCTAGGTCAAAAAGTGATCTATCTCCACGCTCAAAGATTAGACTGACATCTTGCCATAACCCCCCCCAAGAGTCAGAAGAAAAGAAAGGAAAATAAAGATGGTTTCTGTTATCAGCTATCTTTGTTCTCGGTTATGAACAGCAATCTAAAGACAACTTACTGTTGGGGTTGCAGCTCAGAGCTTGCATGGCGTGAAGATACTCATCACCCAGCCAGGCCTGGTAATTCTGAGCTGTGATTGCAACGAGCTCTGTGGTGGCGTCTCTGAACAGGAGATTCTGGCCAGTGTAGGCTGCAGAGTCAAACATCTGAAACTTGGTGTCTACCCCGTTAAATCTTTGCTGTAATGTTAAAGAAAGGAAAAAGACCACCTGTCACACATCACTCCACCTAGGATGTGTGACATCCTATACGCCTTCAAACCCCACAGAGCTGGAGGTGCCTGGATGTCCTGCCTTCAGCTCAGCCAGGCGGAGGGGAGAACCCCTCTGAAATGCCACACACTGATGAAAAAATGATGTCCTACTTGTCCCTGGTTCAGGAGCTGGAAGACAACTGTCCCATCTGTGTCTGGCCGCACAACCACAGCCCGAGCCGGGATTCGGGCCAGGTGGCAGGTTCTCCACTCTGTCACATCAGCTGTGCTGCCGTCACGGCACAGGAGCTCAAAGTTCTGGGAGCGAAGCTTCCGGGCCCACGAAAAAAGACTTCTTCCTGAAACCAGACAGAACATGCTCATGGAACAGGCATCAGGTGGGGCTGATGACTCTAGCTCCACACCTGCTCTAAGCACCCCACGCAGAGCAGAAAACATCTCTTGAGCATCTTTGAACTCTTCCTGACTGCACAATGTATCCCATGCATCTACGTGGTCCTTTAGTCTTGTATCTCCAATAAGACAACAACCAGCTTAACTCTTGCAAGGCCGCACTGAACTGCACACTGGGGGCTGCAGCTGCAGCAAGAGCACCCCCAAGCCCAGAAGCACATGCAACATTTTTTGGTTTTTTTCGCTGTAAATGATGATCTGACAGGCCCATGATATTCAATAATGTTATGTTGATGTAGTTCTCACAAAGTGCCAGACAGGGCAGACCACATCTTGTTAACTCTCTGCCAGTCTCTGCTGAAATCCTTGGGTAGATGTGAGCAATGTAACAGCCCAAGTCTGTACGAAACTAAGAGTTCAGTGCTCTTTAAGCTCTCTTCCCAGAAGCAGCTTGAGATTCCACCTCAAATCTTTACTGAAACTGTCAAGCATTTAAAAAAAAAAAAAAAAAAAAAGATCAAATGGTATATACATCTGTGGGTACATTTGTTTTCACTATTAGAGCATTTTTCTACTGATTCCTCAATTCAAAAGAAATCAAGCATTTGACGTTCCGCTGCCAGTGCAGACACCGTACTTCAGACCTTGCAGACACTATTCAACAAGCTTCTGGATTACTCACCATCAGTGTTTTCAGGCACTGTGCTGTGCTTCACAAAAGCGACTTTTCCAGCACCTTCAGCCAAACACCTAATGAACACAAACCCAGGCAGAAGGATGTTACAAAGCCCAGCTCCCAGGCGCTGGCACTGCTGACAGCCAGAGGCTGGATGCTCTGTTCCATCAGCCACTGACCTATTTCCTCACGCTGAGAGTTTTGCTCAAGGCAGAGACTAGTGGCCGTTGGAGCATGAACTAAACTATGGCTGTCATTTGGTGACCACGAACAACATGTTCAGCGCTGCCTGAGACAAACACCGTGACCTTCTTTGACCAGGAAAGAGTTCTCTGTCTAAGGGAGTTGCACAATCCTTCAGGGAATACGCAGAGAGGAGCAAGTGCTTCACATGAGCAAATTCTGCCCTTGCTCGGTCAATGCTGTTGCTCAGGGCCAGGGAGCTGCCACCCAGCACACGGACAGGAAGAAGGAAAATAAAGGAAAGATTGGTGGGCAGAAAGGGAGGGCAGAGCAACGTGCTAATTCAGTGCAACCAAGGTGGGGTGACCGCAATAGCTGAGCAGGGTGGCAGTTCAGCTCTCAGACTCCAAATGTCATCAGGTTTTACTGGGAAAGACACAGACTGCTGAAACCAGCACTCAGACTTGTGCCAACAGCTGCTGGACAAAGCAAACGGCAATGGGATTTCCTCCCTGCACATTATAAGCACTAAATATCCATTTGCTTTTAATACTCAGGTATTAATACCTGAAATAGTGGGTTTAGAATTGCTTTTGTTCAGTCTCTAGGTTAAAAGCATGGTTGTCCTAACACAACAGCAGATCTAACAAGATCAGCTGAAGTTCTCTGGCTTCAGTCTCCTGTCAGCGAGGCGGGGACACAATGGCCATGGATAAGGCAGAGTGATAAAATAATGACAGAGCCACAATTTTTACCTGAAAGCACCGCTGTAGTCATAGTATTGCTCTTGGGAATTCCGTTCACATTTGTTCTGCCCAGCCGAGTCCCCTTTGCAGAGCTGACAGAGGGATTTGGGATAGTTGGCACCATTTGCTCCAGGAACACAGCTTGCATTGAAATACTCACTCACAGCTGAACGGGAAATGAGAACGAGAAATTTCTAGCAATGAACAGACAAGATCCTACAATCTCATTTTAAAACATCTACACAGTACATCTCGAAAAACATTTAGAAGGGACAAGTCACTTTGTTCTTAAAAAGATAGCTTCCAAGTTTAAAAAACACCCCTGCAGTCTCCGTCAGACCCACATTAGGTCTATTCCATCCTACAAGGAGCACCAAAGCAAAGGCACAACCCGGCATTCAGAACCACACGTTTCTGTCCACACACGGGGTCCCAAGGCCAGAGGAAAGGCGTTGCTGTGGAACAGATCCCTGCCCTGTGACTCTCACCTTTTGGAAGGTCACAGCCCATGGCTGCCAGGCGCCCGCTGTCCACTAGATATCCCACCGGCACGTCCCAGCCCGCCGTCCTGTTGATGCCTGTGTGACATGAGCTGACGCCCTTCAAGCTGTTGATGGTGATGTTGGAGCCCTTCTTTACCACAGCCACGGCATAATAGGCAGTTCCAATCTCTGAAGTGTTGGAAGAAAGAGAAGCAAATGATGTAGCCTGGCAGCAGCATTACAGTCAGACACACTGGTCTGTAGCATCTCGTGGCTCCCCTAGGCAAGTCATGTTTTTCACATCCTTGATGAGAACCTACTGACTGTGAGTGTCCTCCATTACCTTCTCAGTGTGAAATGTCTTAGTTAAAGGCCACAGGCAATCGGCTCTAACTTTGAAAGTCACCCTGCTTTGAAAGGGACATGGGATGAAAGACATCCAGAGGTTCCTTCCGAGAAGAAATTTTCTATGATTCTAAATATATTTGGATTGAATTGAAGCCAATATAATGAATAGTAAAAAAAATTATTCCCCAGTTGTCTACTAATTCGATCTTAATTTTGACACAGTGTAGCAAGCTGACTGCAGCATCACAGCTGATTTCATTCTCTTTGTTTTACAGTTTGATACAACTCATAGAATCAAGAGTTTAGGGTCTGAACTAACCATAAGGTCATTCAATCTGACTTTTTAATTAAATCAGAAATCATTACATCTCATTCACCTTTCTCTGATTTGAGCTCATAACCTGGCTAATGGAGACAGCCAGCCTCTGGATCATGAAGCCCATTTGGTTTTGAGAAACCAAAGTGCAGTTCTCTCACCAGGTCATGATGTGGTTAACGAGGGCGTGGGGGGAGGCAGCTGCAGGTGATCCAAGTCCCTGTGAGCTGAGCCCAACAGGCCCTTCTGAGGATGCCTTGGCCACATCACACCAAGACCCAGCTCCAGCTCACAATAGTGGTGGGGGACACCTGCAAGCTCTGAACTACACCTTGATACCAAGCCCTCAGTCAGGGTGACAAGTCACTGCTGAATTATTGCCTCTGTCTTGAAAGGGACTCAAAGGTTAAGGACCCCCAGATAAGGAGCAGAATCTAACACTTTCTTTCTTCCAGCAGGTAATCATATACACTATTAAAAATAAAATCTAATTACTCTAATTTATGGAATTGAGGAATAAACCTAATAACAATTTATGCTTTGCAATTGATTAATTTATCTGCAAAGCATGGAACAGAGAAGACAGTAAACAGTGAAACAGCAAAAAAAACCCCAACCAAACAAAAAAACCACAAAACCCAACAAAACAAACCTATTACAGGAAGAGCTATTTTGACCGAATGGTGTCAGGACAGACTCTGCCACAGCCCCAAGTCTCCTGTTTTCCCCACACATTCTGCCACAGGCGGGAACATCCACGAGGGAACCAGACCATTACCTACTCTTTACAGGCTTCAAGAGGATGACACCAAAATAAAATGGAAACAGTAAAATGCATAAGCAAAAGCTCGCATTGAGTAATCTAGAAGTTATTTAGTCAGACTGTACCTTGATCATATACTTCCCCAACCACAGGTTTCAGACCAAGCTCCTTTCCAGCCTGGTAAATTAAACGGCCATCCAGGGTCACCGCATCTGCCAAATCATCCTGTGCAGACACAAGGGCAGGATACATGTTGAAGCTTAATTATCAGTATTTCAACAGCCATATGCAGAGTACCCATGAATTTAAGAGAAGAGACCCCTTAATCTGCATTTGTGAGCTTTCTTTTCTCCAAAAAGTTATTTTATGGGCACTCATATTTCTGAGGAACAATTACCAAGCCAAATTTTAGAACTTCAAAACCACCTTCCTTCAGAAATAATGCAGAAACCAGCCCTGGACTGTGATAGCCTCACTGGTCTTCATAGTCCAAAGGAGTCTTAGAAATGAATCCTGCAGATCTGAAATGAATCTTAAGGCCGGTCAATTTGGAGTTTCATTTCTCTCTATAGCTAGTGCCCCAAAGCCTGAAGGTTATATTTTTGAGATCACACACAGATAGTTTGAAGTAATGTCTTCTGGGGCAGCCAAATCTGAATGCCACTCAAAAGCTTAAAGCACACTGGCTTGTACCTCAGCAGACAAACAGCCACTCGTTTTGGGGGAGAGGGAGCAGATGACAGGTCAGAGGAGGAGGAAAGCATTTTAAGAAGACTGTCCAAAGTCGGGGAACACAAATCTGGGGCATCCACTGCTGGGAAGGTGTCCAACAATACCATGTCTTTGCAGCTGACTGTAACACCAAGCTGGCTGGGTCCCGCTGCAGATGCAGGAGCGCTGTGGGCAGCGCGGGACAGGAGCTCCCAGGGCAGCACGGAAATACCATGTCTTTGCAGCTGACTGTAACACCAAGCTGGCTGGGTCCCGCTGCAGATGCAGGAGCGCTGTGGGCAGCGCGGGACAGGGCAGCAAGGCCTCTGGAAGGTGCTCACACCTCTGTCTGCTGAGCCCAGCTCTGTGAGACAGAACCTAGCAGGAGCCAGGAGAGGGCATCTCGCACTGAGATAAGATACTGCTGAGAAAACCCTCAACAGCTTGACGTTTTGCATTTCTAAGCTCATTCCAAGTTTTTTATCAGTTTGCTTAACCTCTGGTTCGGCACCGGAGGAGATCATTTAGCCCACCCCTTCCTTGGCAGTTTGCTGAGCATCAGTTAGGGCAGGGCTGGGCCTGTGCTGCCCAGAACATCACAGCAATTCCAACAGGCTGAGCCATAGAAAAAGCTTGAAAATGTTTAGGGGATCAGGTCAGAACATCGGTAATATACTGATGTTGGTACTTAGATCAGAATTGAAGTTGCCATGTAATTTGAAATATTTTACTTATTTGTCTCAAGGGAGAAAAAAGATAATATTAATAAATTAGCTGAAAAAATAGATGTCCTCACAGCTGCTTCTCATGAACGTGAGCTGAACAAAGTTCCAAAGGAACCTGGAGAAAAGCTGGGGTTGGGAGATACTTGCACCTTCAAGAATCTTCCTGGAATAACCAGGTATGATATTCCACCGGTGAGAGTCAGAGCAGAGGACAGTTTACGAATCAAATATGGCCTCCTGTTTAGAAAGGACTGTGAGAGGGAAGAAGAGGAGGTGGGAGTCAGAAGGACCTTACCCTCAGAAGAACAAAATGATCCCCTGGAATTGGTAATGGACAGAAACAGAGCAGACAAAACAGGAAGGGCTGTACAAGACAGGGACTGTGTGACATGGACACATTTCCATGCGAGACAGCACTTTTCTGATTGGAAAGCTGAGTCTCTGAGCTCTGTTTAGCAGAAGAGCCTCCGATCAATAGCTTGTGTATAACTAACAGTGTATCAACAACAGAACAAGAGAGAAAAAAAACACCTATTGTTGTATGTAACGGGAAGTAGTTTAGAGGCTACGGAGCTCTCCTTTAAATGCAGGCACTCACTGCTGAGGTGCCTTTAGCAGCAACAGTGCAGGTATTGTACCTTTTTTGTAGGAATCACTGGCAAAACCATGGGATTATTCCACATATGATTTTTTTTATAAGGGTATGTGCAATGGTAATACCCTTTAATTATTTTCAGAGGAACTTCATTTCTGTGTGTCACAATGTTTGAGAATTACCTACAGAAGTGTTTAAAGACCTGCTAAAAACCAGCTCTGGTCACATTAAGCACTGTCAGGTTTCCCAGTTTAATATTTAGAACATCTCTCAACATTCAAACACCTTCAGAGAAAAATGTTTTTTCATGTTATCCATGTGCTAACACATTCCCAGGACTAAGTCCAAGTTAAGTAGCATTATAAAACAACGTATCTGCCTCTCCAGCCGTTGCCTCCCACTCCCTTTTTGGCCTCAAAGAGCAGAGTTCAGTGTGGATGTGGACTCAGGGGTTCCACACATTCCTGCACAGAACATCCCAGCTTAAACATTTAGTAGATTATTAGCACAAGAAAAGAGAGGTCTCAAGGACAAAGCCTGGGCTGAAGCCTTACACTGAAGATCTGTTTTATCAGAGAGCTCCTTGCTCCGGCTATCCACCAGCAGGTTTCTGAGTTCAGCTAATCAGGTTTGATAGGAACCCAAGGCTTCAGATCGGTGCCTGCTGCTTGCAATGGCTGACAAATGCAACTCTGTCTGCACCGTGTTGCAGAAGCAGACACTCATCAGCCCTTTTAATGACCTGCTTTACAGAGCCTAGCAGGTCCCTGTGGAATGCAGCAGCATCAGCCAAGCGGTTTTAGGAAGATCTGACATGAGAAAGCATTTCCTGTCTAACCCCGAGGTAAGACCCACGTACGCATTGCTATCTGTTCCTGACACTCTTCATTACAGCCTTGATTCGCTTGTGAAAGAACAGTATTTATCAAGAGCCAATGTGGTACCAGTAGCAGTCAGACAAACCTGCTTCTGTTGACAAAAAATTACAAGACACCGATTTCTGAAATTTGTTCCTTTTTTTTGCCACACAACCACCTGCCTCATCTCCCTTCAAACTACTCTGCTGGGCCTCGTTTCCTGGCTCTGAACCTTTGTCCTTGACAGGCTGCATCTCCTCTGCAAACCCCTGATTTCTGGGCACGTCTATACAGGAGACACAGGGAATATTATTTATTAACACAGCCAGTCCTCCTCCCCTTCCCCCACACTCTGCCAGTGAGGATGACCACAATTACCTGCTTCCACATTTCCTCCAATATCCACTTGTTGCCTCTCACCCCTTCCTAAGGAGGCAATAATTTTCCGTACATCATTTTGCAAAGCCACACTTTTACAGTCTTTAAAACCTTCCCTAAAGCCGTGCTCCTTTTGGACACTGGGCACACTCTGGGCAGCTGAATTAATCCAGCTGGACTTGTGTGCCCTTCGCTCACCCTACTTGCTGCTGCTTTGTCTCTCTCTTGTACTCCAATATCAGGAGATTTGATTTGGCTTCACACTCAGCTCAGCTCATCTCTATATACAGCAATTTCCATGATGGGATCCTGAAATGGGAGTTTGATCCAGAGTTTATTGAAATACAATCTACTTATAGGCTCAGCAGCACAGCTTTAACCACCGTCTGCATCTTATAGCTCCATCCCTTCTTAAATATCTGCTAAATAAATCTGACACAAGTCCCAAATCAAAGATTAGCATTTGGGGGGAAATATTTAAGACCTTTGCTATGTTCCTAATGACTGGCCATATATGACTAGCGAAACTGATGACACAGGGACATTCTAACATTCAGGCTCATCTGTATATCCCTATGTTTTATGCCAGGAAGCACAGTCAGCTGCCTGGGTCAGCCCACACTCCCCGCAGAGCTGCGTGCGTCGCCACTGCATTGTTATTAGACACATGGGGAAATGAAATGAATGACACTGCTGGCATTCACAGCTCACCTTGATCATCTGGGTACAGTTGGCCGCTGAACCTCCAGCTGTACACTCCAGAGGGGGGAGGATGCCAGCCCCAGCAAAGGCCTTACTCATGTCATTACACTTGGAAAGTTCTTGCTGGGAGACAGTGCACCAGCGGAGGCGTTCCAGGCCGAGAGCTGCAAACACAACGTCAAGAGAAAATGTCACAAAACCCATCAGTGCCTTTGTAACAGAGCTTACCACTTAGAGGTTCCTGAAGAGCCAACCTTTCATTCTGTTCCTCCTCCCAAAACAGAAAGACAATAGGGCTCTCTCAAGAGTGAGTCTTTAGAGATAGTTCCCAGTTTCATTCAGATTAATATGGCTATCGAAGTTTTTTGGACTAGAAGCAGGACAGGCTTGGACTCAGATACTGAAACCCAATGGCATTTGCTTCTGGCATAAGAAACATGGGTGCAATGGAATAGGTCAGGGCATCCACGCTGTTCTTTAAACCTTGCAGAACACATTATCTTTTCTTGAGTCAAGTGATTAATATGATTATTTAAAATCATATCTTACGAAACCAAAGACACTATCTAAAGACAACTCTTTGTCAAGCATCGCCAGAGAGTACCTGGAGTCCTGCCCCAGCCTTTTTTGGTCTGAATGAAAACAAAGCAATCTTAGGTGCCCAAGAGCCTTACCCTCTGGCTTATTATGAAAACTAGAAAAATAAACTTGTCTCTTCAAAACACTCTTTCATAAGAGGCAATTTCCACAGCCATGAAAAGGGGAGGGCAGTTCCATGAATGAAAAGACTCAAGTTTAGTAGTGGAGATTGCATTAATCAGTGAAGAAAGGTGTCTTTCAGCCACCCCAACCACAACCCTCCTAAGCACCAAAGCTACAAACACTTCATTGCTTTTGTAAGGACACGTCACCGTGTGCAAGCGGTGCAGCTGGACATAAAACACGTACACAAGTAGGGTTTATGCTGATAAAGAGCCACAGATCATTTCTGTGAGCAGGGGGCACCACATTCCATTGCTTTTCTACAATTTCATTTTTTAGTTGAAGTCTGCTGCAAGTTATTTGTCGTGTGGTTTTCTAAAAACCTTAACTGGCCCTGTGCTTCCCCACCATTGTCACGCAGCTGAGATAGCACGTCGAACTGTGCGAGTTAAAATTACTGCAGTGGTGCTCAACAGCAGCCAGGCACATTGTCTGACCGAGCAGCCACAGAGCAAACCAGATCAATGACGCCATGAAGCTTGTTCTGCACCGAACGCTGGAACAGAGAGGTTGGCTTTGCTGCTCCACTGCAACTCGGAGCCAACGCTGCTGCTGTCAACAAACATGAAGTCAGAGTTGGAAAGCTTGTGGGAAGTCTTCGTGGCAGCATGTGCTAGCAGAGGGAGAAACAACTGCCCACCCCTGAGCTGCAGGGATCCTGAGAACCAAGATGGTTCAGGGACAACAGGGTCGTGGCAAAAAGGCACTTCACTGAAACTTAACATCTGCCTGGGTGAAATTTTCACCATGAATTCCTTGGGGCAGGAGGAAGAACTTAGGTTTTCATTGATAAAGTGGTTTGGGTTTTTCCTCTCCTAAACACAAGCAAATGGAAATTAAATCACCATTAGAACTTGGGAGTGACAGGAGAAAGCCAACTTATAAGTGGAATAAATGGCAGTTATTTCTATTTTTACAAAATAAGCATCATAGAACTGTTCACACTTGTGAGAAGCAGACACCATTGAACCAAACAAAGTAGATTCAGTGCTGAGGAAATACAATATTTGACTCCAATAAGTCAAGACACGTCCATGGTAATCAATAAAGCCTTTTCTACTCCTTTTCTATTTTTTGTATTCTCGCTTTTTTTCCTGGCCACAAAATTGGTTCTGAGAAGGTTCCAGTTTCCCTCTGCTCTCTCACACCTCATAGCAGTCAACCCTGAAGAGACCATGCCACAGCAGAAGGTTTTGGAGGGCACTTACCAGCATGAAAGAAGAGAAGATAGAAGACGTTTCTGGAGCTCTTCATGGTAAAATTTTGGGATTTGTGCTTTTTCCAGCCTTCAGAACTCCCAGAGATCGAGGCTTCTGTAGCTGTGCTGCCCAGCCTGCTCCTTGGTGAAAACTGGCAGCATTCAACTGCAGGTGCACTTTGTTCAACGATTTATCTTGCTTAACTTGGCACACGTCACCTGGTAATGACTACAGGAAAAAAAACCCTACCTCTCTTCACACCGCCTCTACACTTGGAAAAAAAGTCATCAGACTAGGAAATTGCAAAATATTGGAGGCACCAATGAGGTTGTTGCTGCTTTAGCACCACCTATAGACTTAGATAAACAGCTACACACCGACCCATAGGGGCACGGCAGGGCTGCATAAAGAATCCCTCATTTTAAGTAGGAGTTGTATGTATTCACTACATGATGGGGCTCAGGAAGCAAAAGCAGATTCAAGCTAAAGGCTTTATCTGACTGGTCACTGGTTTTGCCACATTCTCAGCATTGACATGAATTCCCTAAAGCCCGTAACAAGAAACGCAGGCTTTGCCAAGAGTGAGGCTTGTACACTCTCCAGGTGGCACAGTGTGTGCTAAGTGAAATCTCCTCACATTTAATAGAAAGTGGTATGAAATAGCTGAAGTAGTTTGATTTTTTTTAAGGTCTTTAGGTAAGGCCCAGGAAGGCTTCTCTCTCCCAGAAAGAGTAAAAACTCTGCTGACAAGAGCAGAGTAAAAGAGCTCTATAAAAAGCTGCTGTGACTTTGAGTAACTCTCACAGAGCAACACTCGTTTGTGCTGCCCTTTTCTTAATTTTTCTTCAGCCAATGAACTGCAGCTGCCTGTAACACTTTGTTCAGATAAATGCCATTTAATGGGGCTTTGCTGACTGCCATTTCTCAGCTCAGCACCCAGCTCCCAGGAACAGAAGAGCTGTTCCACCACGAGTACCCACACACACGTCTTTACCATCTTCTACTGCGAGCACGCACAAATGACACAACTGTGTGCATCCTCTGGACAGCCTGTACCTCCAGCAACGGTGCAGGGATGCTCTCAGGAGTTGGTTACTACCTACTCGAGTACAGTTTGGCCAGGCTGCTAGTGTTAACACCTACACCCACCAGCACCTGTAAGACAACACCTGAGTTTAAGTCAAATAATTGCTATTTTAAGTTTAGAACTTCAAAAGAAATAGATAATGACCCCTCCAGACCTTCTTAAACAAAACTTTGTGGCCGAACTCTGATTTTTGGCTGCCTAGACCACCTGGAATTAGTCATCCCTTTGTTGTCTGAAGTGCTGAAGGATGACCTGGCACCACTGGAGTCCTCCCAAGCTTCTGGAAGGATCCATTACTTGAATCCCTTTTGTGCCCTTCCCACTGGCCAGATTCACCTCTCAAACCCTCCGGCGCTTGCAGCAAGGCTCACACACACATAGAGAAGGCAGGACTGATGCAGAATCCTACTACCAGTTGCTCAGGGCTGCAAGGGCAAGGTTAATAAGAAGTGAGTTTGGTACCAGGCCTCTCTGGTGGTTCTTCTGATCCTCTGCGGGAAAGGTTCAGAAGGTAGAGGAGCAGCCTTTTAGTACAGGAGGCCTATTCTGAATGCATCCCCCTCTAAACCATCACACAAGCACAATTTATGATAATTTAGCTCATTTTCCTATTTTATTCATAACTCTATGACTATCTATGCTTTAAGGAGCTACTGAATTCCTTATAACCTAATTTTCAGCACCATTTAGCAAAAATACCCGCAAAGAAAATGATTAATATACTATAACTTAAAATAATAACGGAGAGCAGCAAATACTTCATCAAGCATGTTTCTGCACAGCAGTTACAAATAGCTGGGTTAGCAGGCAGGGAAGAGAACCCACGGTGCCTTCACTGGGCCAGAAAAAGTAATGCATCAGCTTGATACCATTTGGATTTCCTAATTACTCTAGTTTTTTTAAATTGGAAGCTTTAAGAGAACTACATTTATTGTAAAATTAATCTTTAAAATACAGAAAGTGTGTATCCAAGAATCAAAGACGTATCAGCACCCGATACTGGAACAGATCCAAAAAACCACTAATTAATGCAAAAATCCTAAAAATGGCAAGATAAAAGAAGTCAACAAGAAGCATCATGGCTGGCAGAATCAACTTTTCTGCAGGGCTCAAGGGCAACATCTGAAACAAGCCAAACCAAAAATGCAAAGAAAATACCCCAGAGTCCTTTGGGTTTTCTTGATCCAAGACTTGTTTTCGCTTTGACATGACAACCGCGTGGACTTGAGTCTTGGTGCAGTGCTTGGTGACACCTGGCTAGTACAGGACAAACGCCTGGGAGAAAAGCTCTGTGCAAGTTATTCAGACACTTCAATACATGGAAGAGTAAGTCCTCACATATCTACTCAGCTGAACAGGACTCTTCCTGATGGATTAAAAAAAAGAGGTAAAAAAAAAAAAGTGCATAAAATATAGAGATCTCAGATATTATTATGGTTTGCAGATTTGAGCGCTGAAATTTTTTTTATTAAATTATTTCATTGACTAACTTCTTTTAATTAAAGTTAGTCTGTTTTAAGATGTCTCATTATACACTTCAGATAATCAGTCACCTTCAAAGACAAGAGTACACTTTAGGTCCTTTAAAAATGTATGACATTATTTATCACAAGTTGCATCAATCTCATACACCTTGTACTTCCACCGACAGGAGTCTCAAAGACAGCATATTGACTTCACAAATCTAGAAAAACAAAAATTATTTTGGGCCATACACTGGCAACTTATGCTTACTGTAAGTCTTCTAAGCTTTCCACAGAACACCAGCAATAGTTTTGTCCCAAGTTTAAACCTGCTTTTCATGTAGCAATTTCATTAGCTCCAATCTGGTCACTCGTGTTCCTCTAACATGTTATTGTCATTTACAGTCTGAGTCAATGATGTTAAATGCTACAACGCCTGTATTTCTTTTGATTAAAAACACACTTGACAAATATATTGTACAATAAAGTTTATTAGCTGTTCTCCTCTTTCTAACAAATGGAATGGATAGTGTGGATAATTCTTTACAAACCAAAGCTAATTTGGTTGTGTGACTGCCCCGTGACTGCCATAAGTACATCTCTCTTAAAAACAATCAGTTTCCAACAAGCAATGGCAGGTACCAAATCACACGGGAATTCGAGAATTTCACTGCTGAAGGTAGTTCCATGTTTTGGTACAAAGTATTTATAACATTCAGCACAGAAGTTTGTGCATTGCAAATGGAAGATCTTGTGCCTATGCAATCCAAGATGAACACGTACAGGCAAATAAAATGTATCGTTGGCTCTGAAATCTCCCTTTGGTTAAGACATGCATATTACAAAGGGGGAAAGGGGGGAAAGACAAACACCTGAAATTCCGTAGAAAAGAGGAGAACTTGCATGATTTTTTTAACTAATATTCCCTGGACTTTCCGCCCAGCCACCATAGCCCATTTGATTTCTCATGATTAAGGAAGGTAAATTCTAATTTGTATTTTTATTCAAAACAAAAAGCTAGGAGTAGGTGGTAAAAGAAAAATATATATTTTATATATATATATTTATACGTGTGCGCAACTATGTAAAGAAAATAATTCCCATAGTTACAGAGTTTAGTTAAAGAAAGTTTAATATATATATATATTTATTATAACAAAATAGGCAGTTATTGTGGGTAAAATATTCATTAAAATCTGACCCCTAAGAACACACACATTTTTAGGCTACGAATCATTCTCTCATTGCCCTGTTGACCATCTCTGCAGCTGGTTTCTGTATTACTGCCAACGGAAATTTGGCATTCCTCTGAAAAATACAAGGTTTCCTAGCACCTAAACGTATTTTAGGCTCAAAAAGTGTGATGACCATTATCTATAAACAATTTCTGTAAGACACTATAAATAGTGTTTCATGAGGAAGATTAAAAACATTACACATCTTTGTCCCTAGCAATTTTATTGGCAAAAAATGAAAAAATAGATTATAAGAATATCCATATGAAATTATGAAAATGAATATCCCTTGAGGAGTAATAATGGGAGTTAATGAAAATGTTAACTCAAAATTTGAAAGTTTCTCTCTAACTGCCTGGAAAGAAAAAAAAAAAATATTGTGAGAATAGAATTTAACTCAGAAAATAAAACCTGAAATTGATTGCCCTGACCAAACCATGCTATTAAAGTTAAGCGTGCAAAGTTACTCATGAGTTACAACTTCCTTGAATACAACTTTTCTTTCAATTGTTACGAAATTTTAAAAGAATGTCTATAAAGCTTTTTTGAAAAAATCTTTGAAAGTTACTCTCCCTTAAACATTAAGGAATTTTACCAAGCAATTCCCTCCCACCCCCACCCCAAACTAATAGCTGGTCAGGCCATTCCACTGTCATGTTTGAAAAATGGCAAACCAACAACACACAATAATACAAATTATTTAAACTAAGAGAGACACCAAATGTAAAGCATTATGGGAACTGCAGAATGTGATGGTTAGGGTATGAACCACGCCGGAAAGAACTAGAGGCAGGCTCCACTGGAAGGGCTTAAGAGTCGTCAAGATGTAGTAGGTGATGTCAGTTAGAAAATGAAAAATAAAAATCTGTTTTCATAATTTTTCCTTTGCTGGAACCCAGATGTAAGGCCCAGACTGTTCCTCTATGATCTGTTTCACTTGGTTGTAGATTTCTTCCAGTGTGTCTCCTTGGACAATAGCTGCAAAACATAATGTGGCAATCAGCAATCGTCCTTCCCAGCCCCTACAGAACCAAGCTGCTCCAGGCCAAGCTGCTCTCCTCTCTCAGGGCAGCAAGAGGGTTTCAGATTGGCTGAAGGAACGGACACCCACTGAGATGTCTCATTTCTGTGCTGGAGCAAAGCACGTTGTTGATGGCACTGCAGGACACGCAAAGCACCATCTCTCCTGCTCAGAGGCTTGGGGTTAGGAAGTGGTTTTCCCTTTGCTACAAATACAACACATCCAACTGAGGAGGTTGTTTTGCTTTTCCTAACCACATGCGAGAGTTTGCCCGAGTCAATTCGCACCCTCCAGTATGCTTTTTGGCCCAACTTTCATGTGTGTTTCCAACACAAGGCAGCAAGAAGATACAGGGCTGTGTCCTCACCTGCACTCGGTCTGAGTCAGACTCGGTATAAAGCAGTGAGCTCCTCACCTGGGTCCTGGCACTCCAGAGCAAGGCTGGCCACCCCAGGGATCTCTACCTGCTAGCACTACCTTTGCTTTTGGCCAAAACTCATGGAGTTCCAGCCAATAGATTTAAGTTTTATAGACAATAAGTTTCCTTACATAGTTAAACGTGCAATTTATATTCAGATGATGTAAGTTCAATATATTTTCTCCAAGGCTAGAAAATAATTAGAAATGATCCAATATGGATGTGTTCTGACATACCAGAGTAAAGTACGGTCTGGTGAAAATGAGGATGAAGTTTGAGCTGTTCTTACCACGCTTCAGTCTGAGGAAGCAATCGCCACGAGACGGCAACTTTTTAATTAGGATCGTCACCTCAGTGTTGATAATCCAAGAAACAAAGTTTAGCTTAAAAGATAATGTTGGGGCCAGGCCAGGCTCACTCTTTTGTGCATTAATATATTACTGCTGCTTCCAAGCTTTGCCTTCATGCAAATTACTGCCTTGTAATTCCTACTCATCATTCCCATCTCGTAAAGACTTTCTCTGTCTCTGTAGCCCACTGCCACATGCCTGTGGGAGGAGGCTGTTCCATTACTACAGGTCAAGTATAATGTTCACAGGACAACAGTGCATTAGAAAGATTTAGTTATGTCTTTGCAATGCAAATAGCCATAAGCTTCAGCACTTCACTCGTCCCCAGCTATATTTAACCACCTCTTCCAAAGCTCAATCCCCTCAGAACAGAAGATGGATGTGCTTTTCACGTGCTTCAGTGCAAAGCTTAAGTCTGTTTTAACTTAACCTACTGATGAAGTTCATTTCAGTTACTTCACGCGATGTGGTGTTTTTTCTTAACCAGAGTAGGGAATGCTCTCACACATTCTGTTTTACCACCGGACCCACATGGGTGGCAGCCTCCAAACTGTGAGTAGTAATGTCTTCAAGTATCTCAAACAGATTCAGAAAAGGATTTCTGGCCTGAACTGGATTATCAAGGACAGAAGTCTGACCGTTGCTATCTTCCTTTGTCAACAAGCCTTATACTTCTGAGAAGAAACGCGGCCCTGAGCACTAGAGCTCTTAAAAAGACCCATCGGGTTTTGACACATCTTGAAAGATGTCCATTAATTTCCTGAAAAGGTATCTTATACAATGCCCTGATAAAGCCTAGGAGAAGGGCAGCTACTAACGAAATATTTAATTAATATCAATTAAAATAAAACTCCTGAACAACAAACCTAATATTTGCAAATCATTTGGTAAGGGACTCTACAATAGGAAGAATTTGCAATATATGTTGAGAGCCCCATAACTTTCTGGGTGCAGACAGGCAGCGAGCTGTGGGAGAGCCAGATGAGGTATCGGTGTAAACTGAGAGCCAGGAGGCAGCAGAGAGGGAGGCAAAAAGGGACGGACTCAAGCTGTTCATTGTGTGGGTAACACACAATGTAGAGAACAAAGGCAGTGGGAAGACTGAGCCAGGGAGTCTACTGGTTCCTCTGTCTTCTTCCCATGTGAAGCCACCGCCCTTTCCCGCATCCCTGCCCAGATGGAGCAGCCTGTGGCACCCACAGCTCTGCCCACATAAGATGCAGAAGGAGGAACTAGGAAAAGGAGTCACATCCCAGAAAGGAGGCAACTGGGCCAGCAAACACTGAAATACCACAGAAGAGAACACAATAGGAAAGAAAGGAGTAAGCGTCCATCCAGGGCAAGAAGAGGAAAGGCTCATTTCTGTCCTCCTGAAGATCCTGACTTGATCAATCTCCTCCTACTTCGAGCCACAATGTAAACAATTACATTGCATGGGCTTGCAGCCCATCCCTTGCTGTTACCATTAGATCTGTGGCATACACAAATTTGATTTACTAAGAACCACAGTGCTGTAGTGCCCAATTTCCAGAGGCTTAATTAATTACCATCATTCTTTACTTCCTGAATTAAAAATAAATGGAAATAAATCGTTTTCTACAGGGGGCTTCTCATCTTTGTAAAGAAAAAAACTTTAAGCATACAATGTATCAACAAAGTAAACACCTACATCACAATACCAAGGAAAACAGTAGAAAGTATCTCACTTTTTAAAACCTAAATTAAGTTCCCAGTAAATTTCTGTATATATTAAATTAATTGATCAAATTGAAATCAGTGTAGAGCTACTAAGATGGCTCTA